GAAGGACTGCAGTTTGGGGAGAGACAGAGGGGAGTCCAGAACCCATGAACAAGTCCCTCCGGGTGTGCATCGCCACTGTCTCTCCATCTCTCCTGGTGGGCGGTGAAGTCAAGGGGCGTGTCTAACAACATCTATCTGGAAAGCAAGCTAAACTACTTGAGAGCGAGGATTTTATTTTGTTCACCATGGTTCTCAGAGTCTAGAGCAGAGTAGATGCACAATAAATACTTTTGAATAAATGAATGAATAATATAATCATATTTATATTTAATTAAACAAACTCCAGAAAGCAAAGTTTGAAAAAATCTTTGTGGCTGAAGAGAATACTCTGATGGGAGGCTGACTTCTGTTCCCACTATTCTCAACCATGGACAAGAGGCACACAGCTCTCCAGGAAGGGTGTGTAGGATACCAGTTCTCAAGGGGAGATGAAGAGGTCAGGTAGCCTTGCTACAGATGTCTAGGTGGGAAGGCTAATCTCTGGAGGTGATAGGGTCCTCAGTGGGCCACTCTGTGTCTGATGGTGGCAGTAGTAAGGGTGCCTATCGAAGTGCTGTAGAACTCGGGAGCATACCTCTACCTCATTGTCATGATTCTAGGATATTTCCTTCCTCAAAGTAGCTTAGGTGGGCCTGAGAATGATACAGTGTGGGTGGTAGAAGGTGACAGCTGACTGAAGCCACATTCACATCAGAGTCTGGGTCAGATAGACATGGCTCTGCCCCTTCTTTGCTGCATGACTTGATTTCCTCGTCTGCATAATGGGACAATAACGATCTTACCTCACAGGCTCGGGGTGAGGAGATCTCATAAGTAGAAATGCTCAGCTCACAGCCTGGTGCTTACATTATGCACTCCCTGAGCAATGGTTACTAAAAACACCCAAAATGGACCCTTGAGTTAGAACAGATGCTATTTCTCTCCTCACTATACCTGGAGAAGCTGGCAGAGGTTAAGGAGTCCAGTCCCTTGTCACCATCTGAAATGCTGAGGCCTAGAAAGGAGGAGAGTAAGCCAAAGTCACAAGCCAGAACCTTGGAACCTGGCACCCTGGGGCCATACTGAGATAGAACTCAGCTCTGATAAGCAGGTCCTGAGCCTCTAGCCAGGGAAGCCTGGGTGTACTAGCACTGGGAGCAGGGCCCAGAGTTCAACTTCCTTCTCTCTTCCAGTCACCCGGAAATGGAGGGGAATTCCACCGGCCTCATTCCTAACAGTTAACTAACATCCCAGAACTTAACCAACCAAGCCCTGCCCACTTCAGAGTAACTACAAACTCTTTTAGACGTGTTCTCTGGGAGCCACCTTCCCCACCTGTAGCACATTCTTGTGAATCCTTTAGGTAGGCTAAGTGTCCTTTCCTTAAAAGGAATTCAATGTGTGGAAATAGCCAAAACCCATTAGAAGTCAGGATAAGGTGGATGAACACATCAGACACCACCACTTCCAGTGAAAAGCAAAGGCGACACAACAGTTGATGTTGGCTCAAGATGGGCCCCAAAGGTGATTTCCAAAGAGGACCTCTGTAAGTACTAGAACACATTTGAAACAGGCAAAGTCACTCCCAAGGTTCTGCCTCAACGGGCAGCACTCATTTGAATGTGTGAGCTCTGGTCTGAGGTTTAAATGCAGACTTATTTCTCCACAGCTCTGCCTTGGGTTTGTGTTCCCCAAAAGCTCGGTGGCCCTTGCATCCCACGCCCTGGAAGATGAATATCTCCTCCTGGAGGAGAAGCAGTTTGAGAGGGTAACCCACCCACTGTGGCTCCTCTGCTTACCTCAGTTGTGTCTCTAGACCAGCCAAGCCACAGCGCCCCACTCTGAGAGCCACCACCAAAACCCCATGTCACCAGGGTATAGTAGCATCAGCCACAAAGTTCTGCCTGCCACTTCTTGCGCCAAGCCCACAGATTGCCCGAGTCCCTATTGAGGGAACCTGACCTGCTCTGAAAAGAATAAACTGTGTGTCTGTAACTTTTTTCATATATGCCAGGCCTTGATGTCACAGTTGCCAACATGAGCCCTCTGGAACATTTTACCCACTCCTTGCAGGGCAAAAGAAAACCTGGTTCTACAAAGTAAGGGTCAGCCTGCAAGTCAGGACAGCCCCAGCTCCCTTGGCCTCTGACTCACAGATCAGCCCAGGAAAGAACCTAGCAATCTTGGTTGAGGGAGCTGGCCCTGGCCTATCCCCTTCTGCAC